TCTTCAGCAACCTAAGCAGAAACACACTTTCTCTGACCTTTCAAGGTAACCCAAATGAAAACTTTAAAAAAGAGAGAATGGCTTGAAAGTTCCCCTGCTGTGATTCTTATCTGGAGCTTAATGTCATAGGAAACTTCTCTGACATCTAGAAAGCAGAGGTAACTGGTTAATTTTGCCATTACTTCAATTAGTTTCTCTCCTGCCAGTTCTTTCCCAAAGAATATTCTAAACACTGAAGTAAAATACAGTATTCTAAGAGAAATGGGCATAGTACAATTAAAGGCTGACAAAGAAGCTCCTCTTTACAAAGACTTTTTATGCATACCCAGCCCCTCACTTCTGCTCCTTGTCTTGCCTAGCTGAAGTTTTTTAGCAGCATCAGCAGTGGATGATGAAAGAGGGCTGGAGAAACAATTTTGGTACAGGATTACAGCATCCTTTCTACAGGAATCCTGGGAATTGTAGTTTCTTGTGGCACCCGAGTTATTTCTGACAGAGAAGGTAAATGTCTCACAAAACTACAGTTTTCAGAATTCCCTAGCACAGAGCCAAGGCAGTTAAAGCAGTCTCAAACTGGATTATTTCTGCAGTGTGTTTTGGACCTAAGATATACCGGTATTTCTCCACTTGTGCTATAGTCCAGTCATGGAGTAGTGATGTGATCACTGAATAAACAGAGGAGCAGATCACTCAGTTCTGTGCATTTGATACTGCTTTTTCACCCAAAGACCCAAAAGGCATTATTACAATGCACCACCACAAACATAAAACCTAAACCAAACTGTTGTTGTGTGCCCTCAGGTCATTTCTGAACCTATCACAGGGTTTTCTTGGCATGATTTGTTCAGACTGGGTTTGCCTTTGCCTTCCTCTGAGGCTGAGTCTTTCTCAAAGTCATAGAATCATAGAGTTGGAAGAGACCCCAAGGGCCATCCATTCCAACCCCTTGCCATGAAGGAATGCACAAAGCATCCCTGACAGATGGCCATCCAGCCTCTATTTATAAACCTCCAAAGAAGGAAACTCCACCATACCCTGAGGGAGTGTGTTCCACTGTCGAGCAGCTCTTACTGTCAGGAACCTCTTCCTAATGTCACCCAGTGGGCTGCCATGGCTAAATGGGGATTCAAACCCTGGTCCCCAGAGTCATAGTCCAACATACAAATCACTACAGCACAAAGCAAAATTCATAATACAGATCCATCGATCCAAATAGGATCAATACTTCATAGATAATGGAAACAGACAACAATGGCTAATAACATTACCACACGAAACTTGTT